AACAAGACAGAGAAGTATGTGTGTGTGCGTGTGTGTGTGTGGGGACTGGTGATGGGGAGAAGAAGAAGAGTGAACAGTCGTCAGGTTATTCACCCTGCCTCATTCCAAAACTGTCCCTGTTTGTTAGTAGACTCTGAAGTTGTCACACTGCTACACAAGAGCATGTGCACAATGAAAACACACACACACGCACACACAAACCTCAACCTTACCTCAACCTTACCTCACCTCACTTAACGTGCACATGCTCCTCTTTAATACTATTGTTGAACTAGAGAGGGGCCAAACTGAAACTCAATGGTGAGCCACAGACCAAAACACCTATTGTAAGTTAAGTTGCAAAATGGTACAAGCAGTTCCCGTAATTGACTGACTGTGCTCAGATTATGAAAAATAATTAATAATTAAAGCTGCAAGCAGCGTTGGGCAGGACCTCGCCATCTCCCTACGTCAGGGCCTGCACGGCGGTCGCCTGCCGCAGCCACGCCACGTCGCCCCACGCCCAAGCCCTCATCGCTGGAAGCCGAGGGAGACCACTGTAAGTCGTCATGCATTTCACCGTGCAAAAGACTTCTGCATTCATAGTGACGCTTCACTGCGAAACCTGGAAATTGAGCGCCACACCATGGACACGCCGTTTGACGCACAGTAAATATTTGATTAACTTTTGATCACCAATGTGTCTAGATTGCATTGATCGAATTTTAAGTCAATACGAAAAAAACTGTAAGAGGAGTTAGTTAAAATAGAAGCCCTGAAATGCTGGAAATGGCATCACAGTTTGACATTCGATTCAACCTGGACAACTTTGACAGCACGCCACGGACACGCCCTTTAATGTACAGTCACAAGTAGCACAACTTTTAATCAACAACATATGTTGACTGTACTGACTAATTTTGAAGCAGATCAGATAAATTCCCTAGAAGGAGTTCGTTCAAATACAGGGCGAAAAAGTTCGCCGAAAGTGAAAATGAAATTTCTTATGGACATTTCGCGCTCTAGCAAAAAAATTATAGGCAGAAGTGGGCGTGGCCTATATGGGGAGATTCAGCTCCATTCACCTAATGTGTGGATATAAGGTTTTTGTATGTGCGACAAACTATGCAGAAGTTATTAGCCTAAACGCATTTTTTATGATAGTAGCGCCACCTAGTGGCCAACCCGAAAGCGACGCAATTTTCACCAGGCCTGACAACAGAACTAGAGACTGGGGGACCGACTTCCGCTTTGGGAAGACCTGCCAGTTCCTAACTAAAGTCTCAACCTGAAACTGTTCCTTGAAGTGTTTCCTGTATATTCTTGTGAGAACAGTTTGTATAGAAATACACATGTAATGCCACATTCATTCATTCATTCAGGTGATGCTCATATGACTGAGCAATTTACAATGTTTTTCTACCTTTCATGGACCAGTGTGATGACAGATTCAACCAGTCCGTCTGGTTCACTCTGTTGCCAGGTATTGGTGTATTGAGTGAGACGCACCGCGTAAACCCGTCCTTAATTGTGCCCCATAGACCTCACAGTGTTTCTGTCTTTACAACTACGCTGAATTGTTCCAATAAAGTCTTTGATTGGACCCCTGTAGCTTACCATTTTGCGTCAATGTAATTTAAATCCTTTACCTCAGACGCTGCCATCACAGAGCTCCAGTGTGAGCTCCATGAGGCCTTATTCTGGTTGAGACTGCCTTTCTCACTGAAGTAAGTTCAGAATTGCTTAATGTGAAGCCGTCAGTTAAACCTAATTTTCTGACATTGTATTGTTGACACGGTTCTCTCTGTACTGTGCAGAGACAAACTGGTAAAGCAGGAATGCTGCTAACCAGTCTCACATTATTTAGTCACATACTTATCCTTTTGAATCAAGCAGCCAGCTGTGTATGTCTGTCTGTGTGCGTGTGTTTGTGTGCATGTGCGTGTGTGTGTATCTTACTACATTTTCTCTGAACTGCTCTTTCAAGAATGAGAGGCATGGTTTCACAACTGCAGGTGGCCCAGTTTCTTTTGTCCTTTTTCGCCTGTTAATTTTAGATTGACATAAGCATCACTTGCATTTGATGATACTCAGATCAGCAGATACTCAGGCGCTCTTTAAAATGAACAAGTTTATATCTCTGCATCGGCATGTGCGATTAAAATGAAACTTGGTAGGAGTCCTGAGGCTCGCCTAAAAGGAAAAAAAATCCACGTCACTGGGTGCGCTCTGGGTGCATGAAAAATCACTGTGCGGAGATCGTAAGTATGAATATTGAAATTCACAGGGGCACTGTAGGACTGGTGCTGATGCTCAATAGGGAATTCATTGGTCTGCTTCAATTGGTCAGTACAGTAAAAATGTGCTGATTAAAAGTTGTGCTATTTGTGCATGTACGTTGAAGGTGGTGTTGTCCTGTTGGTTTTGTGCTTCGTTCATTATTTATTGTTTGAATTTCGTGTTCTCTATTTTTTTGTTTTGTTTCTCTTTCTCTTATTTTGAATATTTCTTTCTATGGTAATTTTATTTCGGATCTTTCTTCATGTCAGTGCATTGTGCTTATACCTGAAAAATGTGGTTTGGTATTAAAGTCAGCAATTTGATTTTTTTTCTGTGATTTTTTTCGTGTTTATTTGAACAAACTCCTCTATTAAATATTATCTGATCTGCTATTTTCAGTAGACGATTTTTTAATTGCTATTAACAAGTTGTGTTCACGTACTTCCGTGGCTTTTCAGTTGATCGAATCTCAAACTGTGATTTTTTCAGGCATTTATGGGCTCTGTTTTAAGGAATCCTCTACAGATTTTTATCAGTTGACTTCAAATTTGATACACTACAAATCTAGACCATTGTGATCAAAAGTTTTGTGCTATTTGGTGACTGTACGTTAACGCGTGCTGTGACGATGTGTCGATCGCGATTGGCCATAAAACAGTACTCGTATCTCAGTGTACATTCCCACCTAAACATGTCCCAAAATTCAGTGTACATGGTCCAATTAATGAAACTTCACATTTGAATAACAGCCGCCTGACACGTATACATTGAAATATTCAGATATAGTGATAGGCACTACTGGCAACAGGAAGTAAGCGCTGCGTGGCTATTCAGAGGGCGACTTTGATCTGATTTACGTGAAATTTTCATGTTGTGGTCCGCACGCGTTACGACGGCACGTGACGCGGCCGCAGCACGCCCCGAGTTGCGTGGAGTGCGAGGTCCTGCCCAATGCTGCTTGCAGCTTTAATGAATTGTTATTGATATTAACCAGGAAGATCAGAGAATGCCAGTCTGATAGTGACTGATATATATATTTTAAAACTACAGTACAAATGACATTGTGTCCGTGTGATGTGGCAATCAGTTTTGGAGTTTCGTTTTCTTGATGATAGTGGAGTTAAATTGTTTCAAGACATCACCACTTGTTTGTGGGAAGCCCCTACCCTTGTGACAGTGTGATTATTCTTGTTTCACTTCTTTGTTTGACTATATGAGACTAAATGTCAAAAATGTTAAAAAAAAAGTTTATCTCAGTCTAATAACAGACGGAGTACAGAGAGTACAGGCTTGTTTACTAGCAGCTGGTATATCTTCTGACTTTAGTGCAGTTGTTGCAGTTGAGCGCTCCTTTACTTTCTACGGTACCTCCTATATGACTTTGATTGTACAGACAACAAAAGTTAAGGGAGTAGCAGCATTAAGTAACTAAATTAACTAACTAAAAATTAAAATGTACATTATTTATAATAAATTAAAGTCAAAACAGGGCTGTTTCTAGCTTTTTTGGGGCCCTATGCGAAATGTTGTTTGGGGACCCCTTTTGTGAAACTATGGGGAGTCCAAATAATAATTAATAATTACAAATAATGACTACCTGGCCCAAGGCAGTGACAGTCTGTCATAAATGAGAAACCTCAAGAAACTACTGAAAACCTACAGGATTTGTTTTTTTGTAACATTGTAACATCTGCCAGATTCTGCATTTTCCCTTAAATGTTGCTGAAAAAATGTTGATGATTTCGTCTTGTTGTACCTTTTTATATGTACCGCACAGCAGAATAACCTGCATTTATCACTTTGTCCTGAGTGAACAGAGGTGACAAAGGACAGAGGTGAGTGTTATGAGGCAACGCTCTGACGTTGATAACTATAAACCCTACACTGATATGACAGGCAGCTGACCAGTCAGCGCCAGCAAAAGTGCCATCGGATGCTAAACTGTCTGTGTGAGTGAATGTATTACATGATGCTTGGTGTGGAAGTGAAAGTATCAGACACAGTGGATGAGGAGAGACCTGTCTAAATGGGGTTGATAAACAGGGTATAGTTTAGGCGATAGCCTGTAGTTACCTGTAATCAGCGTGAGACTAATCCACCTCAGGTCACTGTGACTATCTGTGCCTGACATCAATGTCCTCAGAGGGGTAAGCGAGACACCATCACCTGGGCAACAATTATCTTTTTCTAAGTAGTCACCACCCTTTAGAAGTAAAGAGTTGGGAAATAACACAGTGACACAACATGATCTCTTCTATTCCGTCACAGTTTTACCCTACTTCCCTATCTCCCTCATAAATAAGTTTTGTAAGTTCTGACTCGAGACCAGTTTTCCCACCTTCCTAACCTGAAACATTCATGTGGATATTACAAAACTGTAATGTGGATATTACTTGACTGTCTATCTTCATCCTTCACCCACACCACAGCGGCATGAGGAGCTTGTAAGGAATTTTTAAAAGTAGCTCAGGATCTGGTCTTTGGGGAAGGAAAACCTTCAATTATTACTGGCAACAATTCTGTTAGAGGAAAGCAAACCTGCAACAGTGCATGCAGACACAAATTAACATACAAGCAGTCTCTTCCTGGTTTGACAAGTCTTAGTGCAATTCAGTTTTTAACTCTCTGCTGCCACCTGCTGGAGACCTGCTCCCACTCCCGTTCTGTGTTTTCTCCAGCACAGTCACATTGACCCGTATAGTATATATTTCACTCATTTCTCATTGGTTGTTTCTCTGCAGGATTTGGTAGACTGGCGGAAGCCCCTGGCTTGGCAAGTTGGCCACCTCAGAGAGAAATATGATGCATGGGTTCACCAGCCAGTCGACAGACCAATCAGACTGTTTGGAAATCCCTTCCTGGAGGCCAGCACCAAGACTTCCTGGTAAGACAGGACACTGTGTCTCTCTTATATTATTAAAGAGAATGGTCTTATTGGTGTATATACTGTATGTATACACGGTCAAAATGATGTTTATTCAATCACAAATATGCCTCCAGTTCTAGAGACTTGCAAACAGGACCAGCACGCATTGCATTACCTCTTTGTCCAACCCTGAGGTTTCCACACGTGTGCAGTTCCCAGACATTACAAAAATAATATGTGATAAAATTAATCTAAACCAATGTAGTGCTACTGCAGGAGACATGTTGACTCATCATTGTATCTATTGACTAATACAGTCATTCCCAACCAGTGGTATGTGTAAGCCATGGGGTAGTTCTGCAGGGGTGCCAGGGGAGACGGGGAAAGATAGTGTAGTGTGTAGTGTGTTAATGTAAGTAGCTCAGCTAATCTGGAAAATAAAATTATATTAAAACTTGTTTTTAAGCTGAATTTAAGTATATTTACTGTCGCCTCCCACTAACCTGAGTAACTTATAACACCTTAACTCCACATGCTGTGATTGAGCGTTCATGAAAGCTAGTTCTAGCAGAGAGGTCAAAATACATGTGCTAACTGTGCCTGAAAGTGTGAAAGTGACAGTGCTCGAAATGATGGACGTCCTGTTGTCCCGGGGACAAGTAAAACAGCCTCTGGGACACAAATGTCTAGGAAATTCTGGGATAGAAAACAAATGTATCTTTTCAAATGAAATTATTTTCAGTGCTCAAATTTGAAAAATGTGTTCCCAACTTGGCCACTTTATTGCTAGATTTAGCAACTTTTCAGGCTCTTACTTCTAACTCTATACTCCAAATTACTTATAATAAGGGACTAGTGACAAATTTAAAGACTTATTCAGCCCTCAGGGAAAAGTTGAGGAATATGTTCAATTAATTCCTGTTTATGCTGCTCAGAGCAACAGCAGTCCACCAACCGCGCTGGTGTCTCTCCCTCTCCTCTTGTGCCGTGTGCAGGCAGTCAGTAGGTGTAGCGTGCAGGAGCCGTTTGACCTTCTCTCTCACTCTTTCTCTGGATTAGTGTGTTCCTAGAGCTCATATGTAAATAGTTTGTTTAAGCTAGTAAATATTTAAATTGTTCATTTGATCTTCTCCCTTTTTCTTTACTTCAGATATACGCTGTCCCTGAAATGACTTTGTGATTATTTGGCTAAAAAATAATAATGTTAACGAAATGTAAATTTCCATCACTGTATAACAAGAAAGAAGTTTGTGTTTGTGCTGCAGTTTGCAGTGATGCATTTATAATTAACTGAAGACCAAAAACAGCTGGGAGCCACTGTACTAACACATACAAACAGTTGTTAGCGCTGATTCCATTTTAACAGTGAAAAGAGCTGTCCTTCCTAATTCACTGATGCAGTTCTACAGTCACACTGGCAGCTGTCGGGTTCAACAAGCAGCTACACTGGAGCAGTCTGTGGCTTCAGTGCCTTGCTCAAGAGCAGCTTTAGATTAGTTACTGCAGGAGCACAGAATGTTAGTATTTCCCTTCACCCACTTCAGCATCAGTTAGACTGCTCCTCCGACCAGTAAACATCACCCTCAATATGATACGACACGGCAGAAAATGAGACAGAAAGGTTTCTTATAAAAAGATTGAGCGTGTGACCATATTGCTTTATGCTCTCTTGCTACAGGTACTGGGTACCAGTGGTGTGGCTTCCCATTGTGTTTTACTTCAGTTGGCATTGCTACACCACCCTGGCAGAGGGCACCACCAGGATAGTTCTCACTTCAGGTAACGCACACAGCCATATACAGTACTTACATTATGAACATATATATATAACAGACACGCTTGCATGCTTTCATTTTCATTTACACGTCCACATTCTTATCTGCGTACCTTTATTACACACAACCACACAATACAACATCTTTGTTTACATCATTTTCATGTCCAGTTAATGTGTGTATACATCTTTGTCATTATCTGTGTGTGTGTGTGTGTGTGTGTGTGTGTGTGTTTCCAGACTTCTCCATCCCGATCCATAAGTACATTTTCCCACTGCTCTTTTTGACGGGCTGGTTCTTGTGGTCATTCGTCGAGTACTGCATCCATCGCTTTGTCTTTCACATGAAACCACCAGCCCATAACTACTACCTCATCACGCTACACTTCCTTCTGCACGGACAACACCACAAGGTACAAACACTCTATATAGATACAGATATAATCACATGACCATATAACTGGTTTAATCATTAGACTTCATAGAATGTTGCTCATGTAGAGGAAAAATGATCATTTAATAAATAACCTTTGTATGAACTGTGATTCTTTGTGTGACACTGCTCTGTAGAAGGCTGTTTCCGCTGCACTGCAAATGAACTCGCTGTTTTAATACAATGACCACTTATGCTTTATGTGATACATGATGGGGTGAAATATTGCCCAGCCTACACAATGAATACGAATTAACCAACCTCGATGTAATGTAGACAAATTTATAAACCTTTGGCTGAACTCTTAAACCATTTGCCCAAATTTGGTCTAAAGACAGGAGTGGCGGCCCTTAGTCTGGACAGGATATGTCTTCACTTGAGAATACTCCCTTCAATCTTCCCTTTGGAACGTTTACCACTCTTGTTCTTTATGATACATTGCTCATCTGTTTCTTTCTATGCATATATAAATCCTGGATAGCTGAAGGCACTCCTTCATCGATCCTCGCCTGACGGGCTGACTGTCACTTGTTGGTGTCGATCCTCTCTGGTCACTTGTTGGTGTTGATCCTTCTGCGCAGAAGTTTGAATAAATGCACATAGACAAATTTCTATTTGTTTGGTTTTCCTTTATTCGGTCAAACTTCCACCACAGCTCATAGGGATTACTTTTACATATTACATACTTTTATATATGTATGTATGGCAGAAACTAAAGAAAAGCACAATAGTTCCTCTTTAACTCTCAGCTAGCTATAATAAATGTAATCTTTTTAACCTCTCAGCTGCTACACATACACATTGGCTCCAGAAAATGTTCTAGTTTCTAACAGCTGTCTCATCTCAGTGTATGACCCAGACTCTTTCTCCGCAGTCTCCATTTGATGGTTCTCGGCTGGTCTTCCCGCCCGGCCTGGCCTCCTTAGTGGTGGGAAGTTTCTACTTAATCCTCCGACACACGCTGCCAGATATCCTTGGGATATGCGTGTTTGTCGGGGGGCTGTGTGGCTACGTCGTGTACGATATGATCCACTACTACCTTCACTATGGCTCGCCAAAGAGAGGCTCGTATATGTACAGCCTGAAGGCCTACCACGTCAAACACCACTTTGAGCACCAGAGAGCAGGTGAGCACTAGAAATCTGAAATTTGACAGACACATAGGGAGACCAAGGAAGAGCCTATTGGATTTTTAGGTCTGATTCTCCCTGTTGTGGTTTTCTTTTGATCTGTCTGATGTTACGTATTTTTCTCTGTAGGTTTCGGAATCACCTCCACGTTCTGGGACCACCCCTTCAACACAGTCATCCCTGATGAAAAATTCTAACACAAAAACGGCTCTCCTGAAGGGCCACAGGACTTATCAGCCACCCTCTCCACAGCCATAGCTTTCACAACCACGGAGGAAATTCCACTTCCGAGGACCCCTGGGCCACTGCAACTAATCCCCCCCCTGCGCATATCAATCTGCTATTTGATTCCAGCCAGAAAAACAACACATTTGCTCATCTATAGGTGTGTGTATTGCCTCACTGCAATCATTGCTGCACAGTTGCAAGGCCTTTCTGTGCCATTTTTATAACCAAACCAGCATCTGCTACTGCTGTGCTCCCCACTGCACTGACCTCACCAGCCAAATTGTCGCCTGATAGCCATTCACAACATCATAATGTACAGCCAGGAGTTGGGCCATGGAGAGAAAGAGAGGGACACATACACATATGAATCAATGTATTTTGATTGTTACATTTTCATTTAATTTAAAGGAATCAAATGATTTCTCTATAGCTGCAGAATACTGTAGGGCACACTCAGAATCACACTGAAAAAACTCCAAAAATACTCAATATACACGCTCTGTTCCTGGTTCCTGAACGTTCAGCATAATACAAACAAATGTAAACCCACATCCACCCACAACTGAAATTTACACACACACACACACACACACACACACGTTGTCCTAGTGTCCTTCAGAGTCAGAGAGAGGAAACAGGAAGTGATAGATGGTCGGTGAATGTGGAAGACAGTAGCGAGTAGAGAGTAGCAAGGGGGGTGTGACAAAAGAACAGAAAGTGTGTGAAAGAGTGTGTGTAGAGACTGTGAGTGAGAGAAAGAGAGAGAGAGAGAGACCAAACTGATAAACCAACTCAGGAAAAAAACAAAACAATTGTTCCTTCCTCCACACTATCGCACACTGCTACTCTCACTTACACTGCAGGTTTCTAACAGCACACAGAAATTCTTTGGTCTCACTGTAGTTTTTGGAAGCAGCTGTGAACAGAAATCATCTGGTTTCAAATATTTGAACATGCTGAGATCTATTTGAACGTTTAGATTTAACTTATTAATTATCAGCAAAGCTGCAGAAGTGAAAATTTACTGTAATGCGTTAATTCGATGTACTGTTAATCTCATGTAAAGCGGCGCTCTAAATGTTTGAAACCACTGTGGAGATATATTTTTATTGTAATATTTCCTCTGTTCTCTTTTCTTTTTGTCATTAATAATACAACAAAGATATAGAAAAAATATTTTGTAAGATGCTTTGTACAGAAGAGGATATTCTTTTATTGCACCAACTTTACATTGAATGAGCAGATGTTTTCTTATTGGTTTATTGGTATAAGAAAACAGATGCATTAAGGTGTAAAATGGGTGGATGGTAGTGTGTTGTCATGGTGTCAGAGGGACAGAGCTAAGGCATGAGGCCAGGCTGTCAGACCTCTTGCTGTGGGGATCTCGGGGTCAAAGGTCACAGGGTCAGCTAGGTCAGTGGTTCTCAACCTTTTTGGTGTCAAGGACCCCCAAATTAATACAAATCAGGCTGTGGATACTTTGTGATAAAGCATGTTTGCATTGAGCTAAGTTCTGTTAATGGAATAATAGTGAAATTAAAATATACCCACTGCAAACTCCTCAACAACCCCAGTTTGAGAACCACTGAGCTAGGTGACAAGAGTGGGTTTATTTTCTCCAGGAAAATGTTATTTTGAAAATTGACTGCGCTTTCAACACAGACTGAGCAGAATCCTTGTCTTTGGAAGATGAAGGTGAAAAATATAAGACCTATCCTCAGGTCTCACTCCACCCTTTTTAAAGGTTTATGTGGCCCTGCAGACCCCCTCAGGATGACGATGGATGAACCATCTGACTGAACAGCAGGAGGTCCTGATGGTGACTGGCGGATCCTTGAAATGTCCCCTCTAAAAACACTGATAAGCAGAACAAACGTAATAAATAACATAAATAGGTAGAGCACAGTGATATACAACAACTGCAGAAAATCATTTTTATCAACCTTTTTAGTTTGAAGAAATACTCCCGCTTACATAATATATATGTACATACATTCTTACACATGTAACATAACATGCAAAATCTATTAAAAAGTTTTTCAGAGTACAGAGTAAAATAATACAGTAAGGTGATTCCATTTGCTTTTTTCTTGCTATTCAGAGCAGCAATATTATACAAGTCTTCAGGTAAACCTTAAGAGGGCTGTAAAAAAAAAAAAAAAACGTGGTTTCACTGGGGGTGCAGGTTTGAGCTGTAACTGCACCAAAAGGTGTCACTGTCTGTCTTGTGCTCCACAAGTTGATAATGAATGTTAAAGGCATCATGAGGAAAGAATTCTGATTTTGATACAATCTCTATGTACCACAGAGACTTCAGAAAGAACCAAAATTAATTTTTATTGTCGGTAATGATGGTGGAGATAGTGATGACTGCAATGATAATGATAATGCATACTGATTGTGACGGCTGCTTGGCAAAGTGAAATGATTCCACCTGTTGTAATAAGATCTTATTTATGTATATTTATATGATAAAGATGAAAAACAATAGCTTGTTTGCTTTAAATCTGACAAGTGAACTTTTCCTTGTGCTAAATTATGCAGCGTGAAATAATATTTCCCAAATCTGTTTACTATAATATCTTTTAACTTTTATTTTTGAATTTTAAATGTCTATGCAAATGCGAATGTATTTGTAAATAAATATCTGTATATTTCTGATGTCTGTTTGCCTTGTAATTTCTGTTCATCGGCCTCTGATGTTTCAATTCTGACCATCTTTTATAATCTGTCTGCAAAATTTATTTTTAATTTGGGCAGCAAAAGGTTACATTTTGCAATCTGTCCAGTACGTATACAGGGGTAGACACAATGACACAAAACCCTCACAATTTAACGTAACCCATCACCACAAAGTTAGGCCTCAGAAATAACCAGAATTGAATCAATACCTCACTGTCTGAACCAGAATTCAACTTACATCCCCCTAGAAAGATAGCGTTTGATGAATTGTATTACATTGTTATAAAGCGTTATGTTTCTGTTTTATATCTACCATTTATGTGTGTTAGGGGTAATGTATTACTTATGAGTGTGACTTTACATGCAGAGATGCAGTATATATCATGTATTTTCCATGGTTAAGCTTGTGATATGACTTTTTTTGACTTTTTTTTTAATGAAAAACTTGTTGAATGTCAGCCAAAAACATAACTATTTGTAGCATGTAGAGCTCAGACTAGTAGATGCTTATTGAAGTTTTTTCTAAGCAAGGAACGATGCAAAAATTGGACAAACTCAAAGTTCCCCTCCAGACATGTATTTAGACATCATAGCTCCTGTCAGTGGGTGGGATATATTAGGCAGCACGTGAACATTTTGTCCTCAAAGTT